CTGCCCGTGATACTGAATTAGCGTATCCATACCAAGTTGATGCTGATTTATTGCACGTCGCGCAAACTGTTACTATTGCGCCTGAGCCAATTAAAAGGTTGATTAACGCTGTTGGCATAATTAACTATGATGAAGGGGTCTACATTCCAACTGTTTCGAGAGCCGCCACAGATCTATTTCAATTTGCATGAGACACGAAAAATCATTTCTTTGGAAAGACTGGCAAAAAAAACACCTTATTCTTCTTCGGACCACCAAGCACCGGCAAAACAATGTTAATGAGATCACTTGTAGACATGCACTACAACTACGCAATACTAACAGGATTTCAACCAACATCAGCATTTAACTTTGCCAACTTGGTAACAAGAAATGCATGTTTTATAGACGAATATCGACTAACAGATAACCAATTCGAACAATGGAAACTACTCGCAGGAGGACATAACATGAATATAGAAGTGAAATACAAAAACCAACTATTAATTGAAAACTGTGGTATTGTACACTGCAGGCAATTATGAAATAGAAACTTACCTGCAATGTGGTAACACCCAAGATGCAATCGCAGAGAGAACAATACAATATAACTTCTATCACAAAACAGACTTTATAAAATTAAACGCATTCGTGTGGGAGATATTTTGGGAAATATTTGGCAACGCGCCACTCTTCGAAGAGATCGAAAACAACATTAATGCACCTCAAAATAATACATACGAAGACTTTTATGTAAATTATGTGGACGACGACGATGACTTTGAAACCAGTATTCACTTAACATGTTTATCTCGAATATAATTTGACTAACTTAAAATGTATAACCCAACGATATAAATAAATTACAATTTAATATTTAAGTTATATGTAGTCATAAATTTTAATAAAAATATGTTAATGTAGACTCATAAAATGTAAATGTTAACCTTTAATAAATGTCATGAATAATAATGAACTACTTTAATTTATATGCAAAGAGGAGCGTGCGTACAAGTAAAACCACGTTACGTTTAAAAGGTAGAAAGTACCAGGCGCAAATAAAACAAAGAAACATACCGATATAAAACCAGTATGTCCGAGGCGGGCGACGCGGCAACCGGTTTCACATTAAGATAAAATAAACCATTTATTATGTCATTTATGAAGAGCCAGAATGTGTCAAATAAGGCACGTATGGCAATTCATAATGCTGTGTTAGTCCCTACTTTAATGTATGGTAGTAAAAGTTGGGCCTGGCAGAAGAAGCATGAGAGTAGAATAAATGCTGTAGAAATGCGGTCCTTAAGGAATATGCGAGGACTGAATCTGAATGACAGGGTGAGAAATAGTGTGATAAGAGAAAAGTGTGGTTTGCAAGATGACGTTGTGCAAGGATTAAGAAAGTAATGCTTCGGTGGTTTGGTCATGTAGAAAGAATGAACGAGGAAAGAGTGACAAAGCAAATTTATGTTGCAGAAGTGAACGGCAGGGTCGGGAAGGGACGCCCTAGACGAAGGTTTATCGACCAAATTGGCGATACATTAAAAATGGGCCAGATTAGGAGTACCCTTAACCGACGAGCGTGTATGCGTAGATATATGGATGTAAAGGACGCGAGAGAGGTGTGTCAGGATCGCGCCAAATAGAAGTCCGTACTCTCTGCTTACCCCTCTGGGTGACAGGCGTGAGTGTTTGTGTTATTTTGCTAATTATTCCGATTAAGTAATGATACGTGTGTCTTGCTAAGGTACAGTGCCTTGATTATAAAAATAGGCACAATATTTTTCTCGATCGTTAAATCCTTCATTTATACCGACATTTTGTGTTTCTTGTTCAATGTTTGTATCAACGAACATATTCGTGTCATTACCAGTCACACAATTATCTAAATAACTGGGCTGTTTGTCTGGTTTTTTTCTTGTTGTAGTTTACATTCAAATTATCTACGATATACGTACCACCTTGCTGCTAATATCCCAAAAGTAGCTTCGAGATTGCGACGGGCTCTTGAAAGTCTGTAATTGAAAATTCGTTTTTGGGAATTCAGGTTATCTCGTGGGTATGGTCACATTAAGTTAGACATTAATGGAAAAGCTTCGTTTCCGATAAACACAAATGGTGCTGTTTCACCATTTTCGTACAAAGGTCGCGGTGTTGGCAAATTTAGTTTATTTTCCTTGAGACGTTTGCCGAAACACTGTCACTCAGAATACCTACATCGCTGAACCTTCCCATAGATCCGACATCCAACATAATAATCCTTCGCTTGGCGTAGCTCCACACGTCATTACAATTGAAAATATGTTTATAATTAAAAAATGGAGGACCCAGACAGTGGAAGTACAAACATGTACACGTGTATACCACCTATGGCACCAACACAGTGACAAGCGTGAGTGTTTATGTATTATGTACTTTTCTTCAACTTCAAACAAAGCGTAAAATTATTAAGTCTTGGAGGTTGAAGAATTTCTCAAATGTTGCCGGCTTCACTCGGTCACTGTGACGTAGGCGCGGGACCCGAAGCTTATTGTCGTGCAGAACCTGCTTGACGTGCTGAAGCTCGTCGGCCAGGTGCTTTCTGTCACAGATCCCTCGTGCTCACTGTAACAAAGATTTGCCCACGGTAGCTAACTGTGAAGGTTGACGGTGGGATTCACCGTTTAAATATCGGTTCGTATGGGTCTTTTTTCTTTACACAGTGTGACCTATGGTGTTGTTAGGATTTCGAATGACTAACTCATCTAGGAAAGCTAAAGAATTATTTGCCTATAACTCCATAGTAACTTGAATTTTAGAGTTTATGGAATTATGATGTTCTAAAAATGCAGTTTTCTGATGGTTCGGGTACAAAAAGTTACTGTCAACTTGTTGCACCCGCGATACAAAAACTATAAAATTTTGTGTTATTCACAGAAATAAAATGCTTAAGTTTCCAAACTTTATAAAAGTAAGACGAAATCAAAGGCAAACTTATTTCTAATGTATTAATGTATAATTAATGTAATATCATATATCCAACATAACTTGACCCCTGAAATATTGTTACGGCAATGATTAGTGATAGGTTAGACATTGTTAGGGGAGGCCAAATGAGGTTAGTTAAAGTTAACCAAGCAGTTAAAAACGGTTTAAATGGGTTAACATGAGATTTAATGCAGAATTTAAGTTTAATATGATGAAATTCGATTAGGTTAGGTTGGGGTTGGTTAGGTAAGGGTAGGTTTAGTTAGGGGAGGGGGGATTGGGTTAGGTTCTTCTACTATACGTATGACGTATGACGTCATTCACATGGATCACTTTGTTCTCCAAATGAATGACGTCACACGTCCACTCACATAATACACCTACACCTAAATAATACACCTACACACCTACCTAACCTAAACCGGGACAGTGAAAACTTTCCACGAACGGTAAACACATTGCAATGAAGCAAAGTGAAAGGCGGGGTTACAACGCACACACGCACAAAAAAGTGGTATAAAAGGGCATGCAACGCATAAGGGAGCATCAGTATGTACGCAGCATACCATATTATAACAAGTATCAATGTAGAGCAATATTTAATCAGCAAAAATGACGACCGACAGCGAACAACTTCAAGACACTCAGTATATCAGATCGGACGACGAGATGGACCATACCATAACGGCGGAAGACAACAAGAATTGGGACGAGGACAAGGAGGACCGCAAGCCGGGCCAAGCAGAGGAAGACAATTCACATCTGAAATCGAACAATCTACGGAGGAAATTAACAACAGATTCAGCGACTACCCATCACCAATCCCCCAAAATGATGAGAGCGACAATACAAGAGGTGGTGACACCAGCTCCACGACCGAGGACAACAGCAACTCACTGGATTGCTCAATGGGAGCGAGAAAATATAATACCAACAGAAATAAAGTCAGTCCTTAGAAAGACATCGCTGACCATAAAGGAATCAAACGACACCATTACCATATCATTTACATCAGCACCGCAAAAAACTGGGGGTTTAATAGCAAGCTTGGCAAAGCTATCCGAGCAAAGGAATACAAATGTTCTGCAATTGCATGCATTCAGTGCCTTTTGGAGTACATTACTACCGGCCCTGATCGTCACACATTTAAACAAATTCTTACAAGAAGTGATTTCGAAGTTGCAAAATGTGCAACTCATCAACTTGATCTTAGGTCTAAGACAAAAGACAAGAAAATCACAATGAGCATCCCGAAAGGAGATAGTGTATTTCCAGCACAAGGCACAACACGAGATATCCATGATAGACGAGTGGGTGAACGCACTACTAGAACCGATGAAAACTTACTATTCCATCCCGAATATGAACTACATAATATCAACAACGATGAATCAAGAGATGAATCGTATCCCTTTCTAAATCGATCCAGTTTCCGAAGTGCACAAAAGCATAATCAACTTACACAACAAAATCACAACAACTTGTGCTTTTCTTATGTGAAAACTAAGCTTTTGACGAGGAGAGGCTCAGAAATTTTTATGCAGAACGCCTGAAGGGATTGCCATACAATTTACGAGAAACTGACGACCGACTTAACACGTTTCCTGTCCCATACAAAAATGCAAAATTCACCGACACGTTCAATAGGGTTTTTTGAATAATTTGTTTTTTATAGTCATAGGGTAGCCCTAGTAATAATATCATTTTAAAAAAATTATTAAAAGTAGGCTTTATTTCCCGGAAACACATATGGTTCATGAGCGTAGAGAGACATTTTTGCTCCTGCACGTTCATGAACCACATGTGGTTCAGGGAATATTTTTTTATATTTATGAGTTTTTCATAAGTATTTATTTTATTAATTACTTTACTATTATTATTTATGTATTTTCACGATATTTACGAACTTGTGCACATTTGATTATCTGTGGAATATTTTCCATAGATAATAGATTATAGATATGTTGTCAATTATGTTATGTCATTGTCATATTTATGAATTCTGTTCATGAAATTGTTTCAAGGTTATATTGTACGCGATTTTGTTGTTCAAAATGCCGCGAAGATTATCAACTGAGGACTTGCGACGAATACTCGAAGAAAGTGACTATGAATTGAGTAACGATGACAGGGATTCGAACGGCGGCGATAGCGATTTACAAGACGAGCCAGATTCTGATATTTCGGATCAAGATCCGAATATTTTTGCAGATGACAATATCTATGATCCGGATTTTGAACCAGGTGAGATTTCCCGCTCAAACATTGTAACCGATGACATTGGTAGTGATTCACCAGCTGATAATTTATCCGATATCGTCATAAATTCACCTCGGTCAAAAACGAGCAGAAGGCGGACTGCTGGTGAGATCATGCAGCTTACTCTGCAAGAAATAAATGATATAGATAGAGAAAATGGCTGGAGTCAGGACATCTTACCACTGTCACGTCAACCTTATAATAACAGCCCAACTATTCATATCCAAGGTGAACAATCTGTTGTTTCCATTTATCGACGTATATTGACCGACGAAGTGTTAGATCTTATGGTCACTCAAACAAATCTATACGCTTCTCAACTGAAACAGAACGTCAACATATCAGTTCATAGTCGCATGAATCGGTGGACAGACATTACACGCGAAGAAATGTTGAAATTTATTGCCTTGTACATGTTGATGGGTATTGTGAAATTTCCGACGATTGAATCGTGTTGGAAATTAGACACTATTTACTACCATCCAATATTTCACAATGTAAACATGTCGTATAATCGCTTCTCATCAATATTACGTTGCTGGCACTTTGTTGATTATGAAGCTCCGAGGGATCAAAACGAACGTCTGTACAAAATAAAACCACTTTTGAACCTTGTTATCAACAACTGGAAGAACTTACTGCCACCTAATGAATGTATCGTCATTGACGAGTCGACGATGCCATTTAGAGGGAGGATATCTTTCCGTCAGTACAACCCATCAAAAGCTCACAAATACGGCTTGAAAATCTATAAACTTTGCACAGAAGATGGTTTTGTCTGGAACTATGACATTTACATAGGTCGCGACCCCGAGATCGCTGATTTGGATAAGCCGGGAAGTGTCGTAGTTCAGTTATGTGATGGTCTTCTAGAAGCTGGACGGATAATTGTGTGCGACAACTATTACAATACCGTTGGATTAACAAAATATTTGCTGCAGCATAAGACAGATTTATTCAGCACTTTGCGAATAAATAGAAAAGAACTTCCATGGCCAATAAGATCGAAAAAAATAGGACCTAAAAAAGATGAAGTAGTTGCTCAACAGAAGGACAATGTAACAGTGATCAAATGGAGAGACAAACGCGACGTTGCAATGATTTCTACATGCCATGACGCTACTATGCGAATGTCTTCGGGATATCGGCCAATTTTGAAGCCGGAAGCCGTGCTCTATTACAATGAGCGAAAAAAAGGCATAGATGTATGTGACCAGCTTTCAAGTTATTATGACCTAAAAAGAAAGTCTCTGGCATGGTACAAAAAGATCGCTTTAGATATTTTGATATGTGCTTCAATAACAAACGCCACGCTTATGTATCGCAAACTACATTCAACTACTAATAGAAAATTACGGAAAACTGTACTACAGATGCAGCAAGAAATTATTAGGGAGTTCTTGCAATTGAACAATGCATCAGATGCAAGTGCAATTTCATTGACTAATAGTCCAAGACCATCTACTAGCTTGATCACAATTCAGCACTTTCTGTATAAAATTCCGTGGAAAGAGGACAATACAATTATCCGAAAACGATGCCATGGATGCTACGAAGACTTGCGAAAAGAAGGTACAAACTGGGAAATTGCTGCTAAAAGAGTGAAACGAGTGGATACTGAGTGTTTGCAATGCAAAAAATCGTTTTGTTTATGCGGTTTCCAAAAAAATCATAATAAGTAAAATTTGTGATTTCTTAGAAAAATTAAAATATTTTTTGTACGTCGGCGTTTTTCTTTAGTTTATGATCGTACCTGCACGTCCAGTGCAGAAACAGTACCGTCCCTTCACGTCCGGTAGAAATATTCACTGTAGAAATTGTATATGTGCCCTGACGCACATATGGCTCAGGAACGTATTAGTGCTTTTCAAGCGCACGTTTCCTGAACCATATGTGGCTCAGCGGACAGGGAACGTGTTAAGACAGCAAAATCAATTGCCAAGATTTTGGTATTTCAAGAATCAACTGAACAAAGACTGCAACGAGCGAAAACACGATGTTTAGCATTAGACCCAACAGCAAATGATCCCACCACAATATACGAAGGCTTCTCACAAATGGAAAGGTTATTAATGCAAAATAATATAGATCTATTTCAATTTGCATGAGACACGAAAAATCATTTCTTTGGAAAGACTGGCAAAAAAAACCCCTTATTCTTCTTCGGACCACCAAGCACCGGCAAAACAATGTTAATGAGATCACTTGTAGACATGCACTACAACTACGCAATACTAACAGGATTTCAACCAACATCAGCATTTAACTTTGCCAACTTGGTAACAAGAAATGCATGTTTTATAGACGAATATCGACTAACAGATAACCCATTCGAACAATGGAAACATACCATGAATACAGAAGTGAAATACAAAAACCAACTATTAATTGAAAACTGTGGTATTGTACACTGCAGGCAATTATGAAATAGAAACTTACCTGCAACGTGGTAACACCCAAGATGCAATCGCAGAGAGAACAATACAATATAACTTCTATCACAAAACAGACTTTATAAAATTAAACGCATTCGTGTGGGAGATATTTTGGGAAATATTTGGCAACGCGTCACTCTTCGAAGAGATCGAAAACAACATTAATGCACCTCAAAATAATACATACGAAGACTTTTATGTAAATTATGTGGACGACGACGATGACTTTGAAACCAGTATGCACTTAACATGTGTATCTCGAATATAATTTGACTAAATTAAAATGTATAACCCAACGATATAAATAAATTACAATTTAATATTTAAGTTATATGTCGTCATAAATTTTAATAAAAATATGTTAATGTAGACTCATAAAATGAAAATGTTAACCTTTAATAAATGTCATGAATAATAATGAACTACTTTAATTTATATGCAAAGAGGAGCGTGCGAACAAGTAAAACCACGTTACGTTTAAAAGGTAGAAAGTACCAGGCGCAAATAAAACAAAGAAGCATACCGATATAAAACCAGTATGTCCGAGGTGGGCGACGCGGCAACCGGTTTCACATTAAGATAAAATAAACCATTTATTATGTCATTTATGAAGAGTCAGAATGTGTCAAATAAGGCACGTATGGCAATTCATAATGCTGTGTTAGTGTGTGTGCCCTACTTTAATGTATGGTAGTGAAAGTTGGGCCTGGCAGAAGAAGCATGAGAGTAGAATAAATGCTGTAGAAATGCGGTCCTTAAGGAATACGCGAGGACTGAATCTGAATGACAGGGTGAGAAATAGTGTGATAAGAGAAAAGTGTGGTTTGCAAGATGACGTTGTGCAAGGATTAAGAAAGTAATGCTTCGGTGGTTTGGTCATGTAGAAAGAATGAACGAGGAAAGAGTGACAAAGCAAATTTATGTTGCAAAAGTGAACGGCAGGGTCGGGAAGGGACGCCCTAGACGAAGGTTTATCGACCAAATTGGCGATACATTAAAAATGGGCCAGATTAGGAGTACCGTTAACCGACGAGCGTGTATGCGTAGATATATGGATGTAAAGGACGCGAGAGAGGTGTGTCAGGATCGCGCCAAATGGAAGTCCGTACTCTCTGCTTACCCCTCTGGGTGACAGGCGTGAGTGTTTGTGTTATTTTGCTAATTTTTCCGATCAAGTAATGATACGTGTGTCTTGCTAAGGTACAGTGCCTTGATTATTAAAATAGGCACAATATTTTTCTCGATCGTTAAATCCTTCATTTATACCGACATTTTGTGTTTCTTGTTCAATGTTTGTATCAACGAACATATTCGTGTCATTACCAGTCACACAATTATCTAAATAACTGGGCTGTTTGTCTGGTTTTTTTGTTGTTGTAGTTTACATTCAAATTCTCTACGATATACGTACCACCTTGTTGCTAATATCCCAAAAGTAGCTTCGAGATTGCGACGGGCTCTTGAAAGTCTGTAATTGAAAATCCGTTTTTGGGAATTCAGGTTATCTCGTGGGTATGGTCACATTAAGTTAGACATTAATGGAAAAGCTTCGTTTCCGATAAACACAAATGGTGCTGTTTCACCATTTTCGTACAAAGGTCGCGGTGTTGGCAAATTTAGTTTATTTTCCTTGAGGCGTTTGCCGAAACACTGTCACTCAGAATACCTACATCGCTGAACCTTCCCATAGATCCGACATCCAACATAATAATCCTTCGCTTGGCGTAGCTCCACACGTCATTACAGTTGAAAATATGTTTATAATAAAAAAAAGGAGGACCCAGACAGTGGAAGTACAAACGTGTACACGTGTATACCACCTATGGCACCAACACAGTGACAAGCGTGAGTGTTTATGTATTATGTACTTTTCTTCAACTTCAAACAAAGCGTAAAATTATTAATAGTCTTGGAGGCTGAAGAATTTCTCGAATGTGGCCGGCTTCACTCGGTCACTGTGACGTAGGCGCGGTACCCGAAGCTTATTGTCGTGCAGAACCTGCTTGACGTGCTGAAGTTCGGCGGTCAGGTGTTTTCTGTCACAGATCCCTCGTGCTCACTGTAGCAAAGATTTGCCCACGGTAGCTAACTGTGAAGGTTGACGATGGGATTCACCGTTTAAATATCGGTTCGTATGGGTCTTTTTTCTTTACACAGTGTGACCTATGGTGTTGTTAGGATTTCGAATGACTAACTCATCTAAGAAAGCTAAAGAATTATTTGCCTATAACTCCATAGTAACTTGAATTTTAGAGTTTATGGAATTATGATGTTCTAAAAATGCAGTTTTCTGATGGTTCGGGTACAAAAAGTTACTGTCAACTTGTTGCACCCGCGATACAAAAACTATAAAATTTTGTGTTATTCACAGAAATAAAATGCTTAAGTTTCCAAACTTTATAAAAGTAAGACGAAATCAAAGGCAAACTTATTTCAATTATTTTTGAGAATATAATGTTAGTTAAATTTAAATTTACTTTAACTCAAATTGGTGTCACACGCGATCGTGATGTTAGGATCGTGGGTGCAGCACTTTGATAACTAACCTTATCGCCAGATTTATAATATAATTTACAGTTTTTATTTTGCTTTGAATAATAATTGTATGCTGTGCATGATTGGTGATTTATATTTAATGTGTTTTTTTTTTACATAAATATACGGGTAAAATGCCAGAAGAGTAAAGGAAAGAGACTGCTTAGGAGAAATATAGGCGAAAGTTAAAAGAAAACTCTGAACTATACGCAGGTTATCTCTGTCGAGAAAAGGCTGATGATTCAAAATGGAAAGAGTCAATGAAAAGTAAAGTGGAGGTAGATAATGATTTGAAAATACTAGCTAAGATCAGATCAAAAGAAAGAACTAGAAAGTGTCATATAGAAGAACAAATGGAAAAACAAGTATTAGATACAGCAATCCTCACATATTGGGAGAGGCTGCGGCAAAAGTGAAACCTAATCTACCAGCTAGTCCCACTAAAGCATTTGACTAAAGCATCTAACAAAAATTATTCCCCTAAATCAGTGCCTCGAAAACTGACGGATTAATTAAAATAACAGATTAGTAATTTCTATAGGGATGATATTAGTAGACAAATGCATGGAATGAAAGATGTGCTTTCAAACAAGTCAAATACGGGAACGAAGTCACGAATCTAGAAGAGAGCAATGACTATGAGCATTTGTGAAGCCTTCAAGTCAAGCCATCTGTTGCAAGACTGTTTTATTTTTAAAGAAAGACCTGCTGATATTCTGCCTATCAACGATAGTCCTCAAAATATTTGCATGTGCAGAGGTCACTCAAAATACATTATTCTTCTCGCTATTTCGAATTTACGATGAATTGAAAGTTGTAGTGTTATGCTACTTACTTATCATTTTACATTATTTTAAATTCATTTTTCCATTCTGTTTCGATTTTCTGCATTCACCTCAAAACTGGATATTTTACATCACCTTTATTTCCATAGGATCCTGTAACGATTTTAAACCATAAGAACACAATAACAAATCATTTCTACTTCGTATTTTCACATTATCAGCACTTTTAAATTGGTGTCAATGGAGTCTACCTTTTTTCGATCTTTTATTTAGTTTTCCGTAACTCTGCAATTTCGGACTTTGTGCGCGCAGTTGCGCTACCTTTTTTCCTATATCAATAATATCTCATTTTTCACTTAAATCTTGCCGTTTTTCTATTACGAGCCTAAAACCAAAATTTGACATGTTTTGACATCGTTGTTTATCTGGTCGTCATGGCAATTATATTCAAAATTGCTACCGGTCTGTTGTTTCTATTTCGATAATTCCACATAAATACTCTTTCCTCTTGGACATTTACAAAAAATTTGCGTTTAATTTAAATAATTTTTCCGTTCTCTCTAGAAAGGTATAAAAGCCGAACAATCGGTGAAGAAATTCAGTCTCGCTTCAGTTCTCGAATTGGAAGCATCTCCTAAAGGCCTTATCCTGGGGCCGCACTGCCCCGGGATCCTGCAAGCCTCTGTCCTGCCTGAAGCCGCTGGACCCTACAAACCTCTGCTCAGACTGAAGTCGCCGGATCCTACAAGCCTTTGCTCTGCCTGAAGTCGCCGGGATCCTACAAGTCTCTGCTCTGCCTGAAGTCGCCAGAACCTGCAAACCTCTGTTCCGCCTGAAGTCACCGGATCCTGCAGGCCCCTGTCCTGTCTGAAGTCGCTGAGGATCCTGCAAGCCCCTGTATTGCCTGAAATCGCCGGATCTTGTAAC